AAGACATGTGGTATTTGATGAAAATTTTTTACCATATACTGATCTTGCTAACATTTCTAAAAGTGTTGATACAGAAGGTGAACTTTGTAGCTATCCAGACTCTGATGAGTGGTTTCGAACGGGAAGTCTACAACCTTCAAAACATATCAGTAGCATGGAAGAATCCTGCCCTGCAAAATCGAAGTTCGTAAATCACATGCCCATTTGTGGTGATTCGAGCCCTCCTGGTACGACAAATGAGGTTCAATCAGCTAGTTCTCATGTGTTACCACTACCAATAAAGGAGCCACCACAAGATGAGCCAGAACATGAGTCAATAACTCCAGACCATCTAACTGCAAATCCAGTAAGAGATGAAGGGAGTCATGATGACATTTCCTCTCCTATTAATGCCTCAATAGTAATTGAACACCCTTCATCAACCTCTCCAAGTGAAGAAAGTGGACCACAAGATCAGCATTCACCCACATATTTGGAGAATTCAAGGGCAGCAGGGGTTTCTCCTCTAGCACACAACATTACCTCCTTGTCAGTCCACCCTATGCAGACTCGCTCAAAAACAGGGACACATACTGGACATGTTCAAACAAAATTTTCAAAACATGCAAATACAATGACAACTAATAATCCTTCTATGAATATTGCAGGACTTGACATTAAGGAGCCAAAATCGATTAAAACTGCTCTTAAAATGCCTCACTGGTTTGCTGCAATGCAAGAAGAATTAGATGCCTTGAAGAAAAACAATACTTGGGAGCTGGTTCCGTGTCCCCCTGGAGCTAATATAGTTGGATCAAAGTGGGTTTTCAAAACCAAGCTAAATCAAGATGGTTCCATTGAGAGGTTCAAAGCACGTTTAGTGGCAAAAGGGTTCTTGCAAGTTCCTGGTCTGGATTTTGATGAGACTTTCAGTCCGGTACTTAAGCCCACAACACTTCGTCTTGTGATTGCACTTGCTACAACTCAATCATGGCATTTGCGTCAACTTGATGTAAAGAATGCCTTCCTCCATGGCATGCTCAAAGAAACTGTGTATATGATGCAACCCCCTAGCTTTGTTGATCCTCAATATCCTGAGTATGTATGCTGCTTACACCGCTCAATCTACAGGCTTAAATAGGCTCCCCGTGCTTGGTTTGACAGGTTCACTCTACACCTTCTAAGAATGGGGTTTTATTGTAGCCAAGCTGATTCCTCTCTTTTTGTCCTTCAAAATTCACAAGCCATTGCTATTCTTCTCTTATATGTTGATGATAATGTTCTCACGGCTAGCACAAATGAACTACTCCAACAAATTATTTCAAATCTCAACAAGGAATTTGCACTCAAGGATCTAGGGCCTCTTCATTACTTCCTTAGTATAGAGGTAACAAAATTTTCTGGAGGGATTATCCTTTCTCAAAACAAGTATGCACATGATTTACTAAATCGAGCATCAATGATGGAGGCAGCTCCAATCTCTACACCATTGGCTATTAAAGACACTATTACTTCAAGAGATACTGAACTTGTTGATGCTACATCTTATCGGAGCATATTAGGAGCCCTTCAATATTTGACTGTTACCAGCATTGACATTTGTCATGCCGTCAATCGAGTTTGTCAATTTATGCAAGCTCCCACTATTTCTCACCTTCACCTGGTAAAAAGAATTTTGCGATATGTCAAGGGCACTAGTCAATATGGTATACGCTACCTAGAACATAGCCCATTGTCCTTGACTGGTTTTTGTGATGCTGATTGGGCTGGTTGTCCTTTCACACGTCACAGTACCACAGGGTTTTGCATCTTCTTGGGTGCCAATTGTGTCTCATGGGGTTCAACAAAACAACTGACAGTGGCTTGATCTACTGCAGAGGCAGAATATAGAGCACTAGCTTCCACCACCGCTGAACTTATGTGGATCACTTTCCTTCTTTGTGATGTTGGCATATCTTTGCATTCACCTCAATTGTTTTCGGACAACATTAGTGCTCTTCATATGTGAATAAATTTATGATTAATGTATTTGGATTTTATTATATATTTTTTAAAAATATATGTATTATTTTTTAAAAAATATAAAAAAAAAAAAGAATTTGTAGGGATCGAAATTTTAAATGTAATTTATGAAGGTGGTTTTACCAATTTAAGATTAATGTATTTGGA